TATGAGAATTTACAATAAAGGTAATAATTCTGATCCAATATAAAAATGTGAAAATATAAGCAATTACTTCACAGTGATGGGAAGTTCGTGTGGTATTGCCGTATTAGCAATAATAAGTAATAAATAGTATACTATAAAACGAATGGATTTATCGTGCACTAATATACTTGGCAACGCTGCTTAGAAGTAAAAATAATATAACGTACGCAATCCTACACTTAAAAAAGTACCGCTGATAAGGACTGCGCTCCCATTGAACTTATCACACGATGTACAATATCTTTTATTATACTAATTGATAAGCATCACCGTGTATAATGCAGGGTCAGATGAATGTATCTCCTCGATGGCTACAACTCATTTGCGCACATTTACCTTTTTTACAACTTATTTGCGCACAAAAACATAACTCATTTACGCACAATTTTCGAACAATAGAAACCTTTTTTTCAAAGAAATTTATCCACGTATAGAGTGTACAATGTACATAATGTGCATACGTACCTCCAAATTTTCGAATTGGTCATTAGCAGGGCTGTGCATTTAATGCACTGAAAAATGTTAAATGTATGCATGTATTTTTGCATTAAAAACAGGCAAAATATACACTAAAAGTCTAAAAAATAAAATAAAAACATGCAAATGCATTAAATTCACAGCACTGGTCATTAGTGATGTTGGAAAATTATTACACTCTACAACATTTTCCTTCACCCTTTATAAAGCTTAAGACTTACTGTGTAATCATATTCTAGTATCATAGACTAGCGGGTTTAATAATGCTGTTTGAGTTATTTTATTTAGCATAACTTCCTAATGATCAATATGCCATCATTATTTAAAATTTTGTTGATCAAAACAATAAATAATTTTAATTATAATTACAATAATTTTTTTACAATTATAAGTCCTTAAAATAATACATATTAAAAAATAAGTTCAAATAGTACATATCTATTATACATTGGTTGGCGTTTGCATTAAGTATGTTAAAGTGCCAATTTTTTTAGATTTATAATCAGAGTATATTTTTTTCATTTAATTTTGTTTTTTTAGTATTTTGTTCCTACGGATATTTTCTTTATTTTATTATTTATTATTTTTTTTTTTTATTGAATTAATTTTTATACCAATATCGACTTGAATTTCCATTAATATTTGAAATTCTAGATCATAAATTAAGCAATAAAGATTAAAGCTTGTCCCACACGACTCATGTACTTGGCGAGTAGAGTAATCGCGGTTATTACAACGTATTATTATTGTTGGGTGACAACTGATGTGAAACCACAATTGAAAATGATTGTTACACCCACAAAACTGTACCTACAAATAGGTTTCCGTTGTTCACAATTTTGTGCGCAAATGAGTTGTTGCTAATTTATAAAATCTACTGGTATGTGCGCAAACAAGTCTCAACCCTCCTCGATGTTATTTCTTCTTAGGTGTTTTGAAAAATACATATTTTATACCTGTCGCGAATTAAGTAAGAATACTTCCTGGCTATTTTTATCTAATATTTTAGCATAATTAAATTGTTAATAATTAAACCGGCCATAAATTATAATAATGAAATTATTTCCGAAAACTATTTATAGTTTAGTCGCTGTTTAAAGTCTAAAAATGTATAGAATATATTATGTAATAAATAAACTTTATTAGACAAGTAACGCTTTTAAATATAAATAATTAGGTAAATCAGATCATTTATCAGCAAAAAATCATGAGTTCATAAACTTGTAAAATATAAAATATAATTAAAATATGCACTTATATAAATTATATTATATATTTTTTTAATTTCGCATAAACCAACTTTTGTAGTTTCAATTATCATATAGAATATTTAAAAGAAAATATACTAACCACCTAAATGAATAAGTATATATATAATTTTTTTTTAATCATAAATGATAAACAATTATTATTCAGTAAAAGCCATTTAATAGGTGTTTAAAATACAATATTTATAAGTTATAACACATTCAACATAGCCAACAATTAATTGTAAAATTATAGAGATATTTTATACTTTAAAAGTATATTCGTCTTCACTAATTAAATATTTGTTTTAATTTTATGAAGTATCTAGGTACAAATATTATAAAATCTTAGAATTTAGAAACAATTATGTGGACGATTAATTATAACTAAAATTATTTAATTATTTGTTTCTCAAAACCATAAATCATTGTTGTTAATATATATTTGATTTTGTAAGCAAAAATAAAGGCGGTTTTTATAAAAAGCTTAAAGGGTTTCAAAACACTCAAAAGTTTTCTGATAATCATTATAAAATAAACTGATACACGTTTTTTGTCATTAAATTAAAAACATAGTATCTTAGCCCCTCTCAAAAATATTTTTATTTTTATATTTAATCGACTCTCTATGAATTGTTTATTGATATAGTTTTGTAATTTAGTTAGCTAACATGTAGGTTTTTGTTCTTTAATGTGTATTTTTTATATACGTAAATCGCGTTTAAACATACAATGCGTAGGTACCATTAAATAAACTAATCTATACCACATTAGGTCTTAAGAATATAATTATGATATTAATAATATTAGATGCCTAAATTTTTAATAAAACTAATTCGTATTTTATTTGTTTATGTTGGGTCTCGTTAATATTATTTTTATTTTTAAACTACAATTTAATTTTTTACTATGAAATCTTTAAAAAATATAATTGATACTTAGTCGCCCAACTTATGATCACTATTGGAAAAAATAATTAATTACTATAATTATAACCTTGCAAAAATAAAAAAATATAACCTTGAAAAATTAGATTATGTCGTTACCTATATTACTATGTTAATATTACATATATTTCATAAAAACTTAATCAAACCTTTTACATATTGATTTCAATTTCTATATCTCAAACCTAAAAATCTATAATACTTCTCGTAATTTTTATTCGTCAAAATTATTAAAAATATACTTATATGCATATCATATAAACCTACACTATAAAAAACTCTAACTTTCTTCAAGCTTAATAAAGTAAAATAAATACTTAACAATCAATATCTACAATATACACGAGTCCAGCATATTTTTGTTTTAATTTTTTAATACTTAATATTATTTAATCACTACTTAAATTTATTTATCGTTTAATTCTTCATGGCATAATACGCTCATCTATTATGTTTGATTTAGATTTTAATATTGTTTTAATTGAATTATATTGAATTTTTATAGGATTATTTAAAGTTCTAATGATATATGACATTTTTAAGTAGTTATAATTTTAATAATTAGTCGAGTAGTATAAATTAATTTAATCGCTTAAAGATTTATTCGTATTAAAAAATTATGGACTACCTAAGAATGGTCATTTTTAAACGTCTAAATATATAGTATCATGAAAGATTAGAATTACTTATTTCCTAAATAATAATATCTAAAGCAGTTATCAAATTCTAAAAATTGATTGTGGATATGTATTATTAAATTTTAAATTGTATTATGCACTGCAACTTACTAGTAAACATATTTTACATTTTCAATTTCTTTGACCAAATAGAAATTATTAAATGCATATAAATGGCAGAAAATTAGTTTAAATATTTTGAAAATTGTATTGTGTGTGGAACGTGATAATATAAGAACTAGTGGGATGTTTCAAGTTTCTAAAATGTATATTACTTGAATAATTACAAAATAACAATAATTATTATTATATATTTAAATGTCCAATTTCAGCAAAATGTTAACAATAAATTACTTGTAAAATGTATGTATAACTGTACACTAACTTTTTTTTTTTAATACCACTAAAAACACTTATAAAAAATCTTATATTACATTTACAACCCTTAAATGTTAAGTCAAAAATTGTATGGATTTAAACAACAACAAAGATAACATATTTTTATAATTTTATAGAACTTTGATAATTTTTTATTTTTCCCCCCTTAAAATATCCTTTTCGATATAATTTGCGTTTATTAAATACTGGTTTTAATTTAACTGATATTTATTATTACGTATATATATATCATTATGTCAAATATTAAGATACATATAAAATAGAAAATTGCCATACTACGATAAGCGTCTAAATGTCTAATAATTGTAGGTACTTGCTACAAATTCAAGGATTTATTTTCCTCTGATTATAGTATTAATTTATCATTTTTCGTTCATAATTGAATATTAAATTATCTAAATTGACTAAAACAAGGTTTCTATCGCATCCCAGTCCTTCGATTAAGCATTTATTTGCATCTTCTAATCGACTAATCAAACCTTGCATCCAATAAGCATTTTAGATACAGTAATACATAATATACTATTTAACATTGGAATGTTACTTATTAGGATTCAAATAATTATTCTTACACTTACTATATATATTATAGTCTCCGGATCTTCGTCGTCACACCTATCTACACATATTCCACATAATGCTACTTTCACACGCTTGTTTTTTAACAAACGATATTTTTTACCTCGCTAAAATTTCCTTCTGAAATTTCTGAAGTATGATATGTCATCTATAAGATTGACACACACACGTACAAATTATAATAATACGTTACTTGCTTGGTACAAAAATTCGTTTCTTTCGAAAAGCATTGTAAATATTATTATACATCGACCAATAACAACAACAAACGGTGATATATTTTTGTATACAACAGATAGTGCAATTATTGCCAAAACTATAGAAGTAATTGTATATTTATAAACTAAACATATCAATACAAATAACATATATATATATTATACATCATATAGCATGTCCTTAATAATAATATTGATAGATAAAAATATTCCACTACTGTTCGCACGCTTTTTTTTTAGATGACCTAAAATGCACCAGCAATATAATGAGTATTTATTATATTTATGTACCTATACATGTGTAATAATATTATAGTAGTTGTTCGCGGTCGTCGTCGGGGAAGGGGAACCGCGGTTTAGCTCGCCCCACGCGCCGATCGTCCGTATTTTCACCTTTACAGGCGTGTGTGTGAGGCAGGCAGCGTTGGTCTCGAAGTCTGTCACTACTGGATTGTGTTTGTGTCTTCCATTCTCGTACGCGTCCGCCTCGAATACGGTCCGTTGACGACGCGCATCGGCCAGTTTTCTTGTGTTTTTTTACAATAATATCGTTTTTTAACGTAATAAATAAACTGTGGTTATTACACGTATTATCGTAAAATATCGCATTTATCCACTTGCGTTCAACCGGCTTCGTTTACTCTGATCGTCATTTGTAGTGCGTTTTCGTGGTCGTAATAATTTTAATAACAATAACGGTCGTTTTTCCCTCGATCCATCGTCATCCCCGAGTGTCGATTGTGTGATAACCGTGTGTAGTTCGAAAACACGTTGAACATCATATCATTATTATTTATTGCGTTTGTTCTCGCCTATGCAATTTTATATCGCGTTTTCTACCTTTGCGCCGCTGTCGCATCGTCAAGATACAATTAATTAAACGTAAAAATATAATATGAGAATGAGCGACATGACCGTGTGCCCTGTGGCCAGCAGACAATCATTTTTCGACTCGTTTACCGTCGTTTCCAAAGCCATCGGACAGTTAGAAAAACTTATGTCCAGCAAAGTGAGTTGACACGATTTCATTATTATTGCAATATTATTGTTTGTACATTTGTTGGGTTGCACTTTATTCTAATTTATTCCGGGTGCGTGAATACAACTACAGCAGTCGTAGTGAACGAACGATTATTATTGTTATTTCACTATCAATACGCGATTGTGCGCAGGTAAAATAAATTATCACGAATAATTCCCAAAAACGCTTTATTTTTAAACACTTTCCCATCGCCTTCAGTAGTATATTATATTTTATTATAATAAATTAATGATATAATGCATTTTGATGTGCTGAATGCTGTAGTGCAAAGCTAACAGTTGTAGAGTTAGTATATTGTATACGTAGATATTATTTCCACGTGCTTTTTAATATAACTGGCAAGTATTGATGTACACACGAGTTCCCTGACTGCAGCGATGGGCAACCTCATACAACAGGTATGTGTCGTTTTAACAGAAAATAACGCTGACTGTATTTTCGGTACAATCCGCTAAACCAACGTGCCCAAAATGTTTAAAAAAAAAAAACGATGCGTTATAAAACACCCGCCTTAGATTATAATGTGATTATACAGTATAATTTACATATTTTAGCCTTGGTTCTTGCATAATACTCATGCTAATCTGATAATATAGACTAGGTATGTAAGTTAATTTAATCATATTCGCATGTTTTTTAAATAAATATGCATGTATAATATATTATATGTACCTATACTTAAACAGTGTATTTATAAACTAGAAATGTACACAGTGATACAATTATTTGGTTGTTTTCTTTACAATTTATTATATTATTACGGGCGTAAATTATTCAACGTAAATTACTGATATTTTTTATACGCCTCATGTGTGTTCCGAATTTGTACAGCGAACAAGTACTGTGTGCACTAGTGTCACATGTTGTATGGACGTTATTATATTTTGTCAGTTAGTCGATCGAAACTGTTGACGCCGCTGATATCGCCCCTTATCACTGCAACAGTATGTATCTTTGTGTTTCTCTCGCGATCGCGTGTACAGTAAAAATATTGTGTACAAAAAACACATCTATGGGTGCCTCTCTGATTTCAAAGTACACAATTTGGAATTTTGACCTAGGTCCGTTTAAAAAAACACATCCGGTTTAGTCGGCGGTGATGTCAGCGACGCGCGTGCGTCCTATCCGTTTCGTCGTCGGGTCTTCCCTTGAATTTCAATCACATACCTTCGTATCTATTAAAACAATAATATGTAATAGCCATTCTTCCGATGTACACCCAACGGTGTTCATCGCTGTTGCACGTCTTTACAAGGACTCATCGATCTGAGATCACCGTTAGATTTTAAACTGGAATAATAAAGTAGACGTTTGTATTTTAATTTTTTTCTACAGTTTTTACTCAAAACAATAGACAAAAACCTTGACTTTTAATTAAATTTTTTTGTATTGTGTCAATGTAGGTACGCATTACCCACTTATTAAGTACAATGTTTATTATACGTACAACCTACATGATAAATAATTTAACTTTTCCATAAATCGTAAGCTTGTACTACCTACTTTTGATTATCAGTTGAGAATTTATTATCGCTCTCGGTGTTTTTAGGACATATATGTGGGTAGTTAATTTGTTTTTATTTTTTACCAATATTTGAATTTTACATTTATACTAATTATTTTGTCCTTATAATGTATCAATCCATATGCCTAAAAGAAAACCATCCTTAGTTATGGTATATTTTTAACTTATAATTATAACAACTTTTACAACTTAACAATTAGGTGGTTATTTTTTAAATTCTAATGAGTACGTCCTCTGCAAATGTTGCGTATATGTATTTTTAAATATAGATCTAAGTTATGTAATTATTAAAATATTTGATTTAATAATCATGATTCTAATATTAAATTATATTAATAATTTTAATGTAGTTATATATTTAATATCAGATAACCTATTTTTTTTCGTTCAAGCTACGAATTTGAATGTCATGTAGTTGATCCTATATAAATACGTTAATGACGTTTTAAAATTATATAGATACAATTTTTAATAATTATAATATCTTTTAAATCCTCTACATTTACTTATATAGTTAATTATTTTAAAATTTAGTTGTGAATAACTATATTTTTAACTGTTACAATTCATTGTCGTTTGTATGCATATACACTAAAAAAATTCACGTTCTATCAAAAAGTTAGTAAAAAAAAGAAGCTAATATGCTGTGTTATATAAAGTCATTAAGGCTTTAATCATTCGAATCATATACATTCATACCATAGTTTATGATCATTGGCTTATAATATATTATGTAATATGAGTTAATTATAATTTATAAATGTGCAATGCAGTATCTCGACTTTTTATTTATAATCATACAACAGTATATTCTGTATTCACTTTCTTAAATATTAATACTTTTATATCAAAGCTGGCACAGTGGCACGATGGATATTGTATTTACACAAACGATATTATAGCAAAAAAGATGTATCCTTAATATCAATCTATAATATTTGTATGAACAAAAGACATTTTGTAGATATGTTATTTCTTCGAAAACAAAAACACATTAGGTTTAAAAGCAGCTTTCAATTATTTTAACTTTTAACTTTTAACTGTACTTTTTTGTGGCATAACGTCACATATTCAATAGGTAATGTCTATTTATTAGTATGATTAGGTGTTGGAAATTACCATAGATAATTAAAAATTATAATAATTCACAAATTAATGGCATTTTCTATTAAATGATAAAACTGAATACAAATATTTACCTAATATACCTACAAGCTACAACAGGTAATCCATAACAGATATTTACGTCATAAGGTACTTATTTAGAAATACAAGTTCCTTAATAGATATGTAATATAGTGGTATATGCCGTAGGCAAAGGCTAATTATTTTTATTCTGTTTGTTTTACTTTGGATATAACTAGATTTTCAATTTAATATAGTAAAAAAATATTAAATCTGCAATTAAATATTTACATATGATTTTATCATCAAAATATATTTATGTTTAATAATTAATAGTAACTATGCAAATTATACATCATATTGATTGTTCTTGTTTCAGTTAATGATTTGAAAATTTTACATAAGTTGTAAAATATGTTTCAAATTATACAATATACAATTTAAAATTCTTATGCTTTTTTTCATAAATGTTTAATTTGAAAATGAGTTATCATTCAATATTTCAATTTCTGAGCTTCAGATTGTGTTATTTTCAAATTGTAAATGTTGAATATTTTGTTTTATTTAAAAAAAACCCTTACTATGGACGTCATTTCAGATGTTATTAGTTATAGTCGGTTAAATAAATCTTTTTAAATGTGTAATTTCACTGCCTTATTAAAGATAATATAAAATAATATTTTATATAAATTAACTTTTAAACTTTAAAAATACTTATTTTTTTTTTTTTACTGTTTTTTTTATATACATTTATAAATGCAGCTTTGTTATCTTGAAATTTTAATACAACATTAATCGATTTATTTTATTTCATGATTTGTGTCTGCATATTTTATGTATTTAAATTATACTTCTGTATCTACATTTATATATTTTAAATATTTATTTATAATTAAAAATATTATAACTAATAATAGTATTTATCATTTAGTTACATTAAATCAATTTTTTTATTATTATTAATTAATTATTTTTTATTATTTAATAGTTTTCAACATTTTTGTGTCTTACTATGATGCTCGTATTTAACTGTAAAACTATATTTCCTTATTCCTAACTTATAAAATATTTATTTATTTTAAATATAGCCTATATTTAGGTTCAAATAATAATTATGTGTAGAGTTAGACATGTAATAGTAGATACAGTATGCTCAATCAAAGAAAATATTTACAAAATATATCTTTTATTTTTGTTTGATTTTATGCCTTAATTTTGGTTATTATTCAGTACGTTAACCTCTTTAATCATTAATGTTTAAAAACAAAAAAATTTAATTCGATTTTTACTGTTTATTGCGGGTGTTTGTTTAATAAATCAATATAGCTACAGTAATGTTTTTTTGCAATTTGCCTTTTTTGTATATCATTATTAATGTAGTATATATTATACTTATAAATAATAAATTATTTTATAAATTTAGTTTTGATAATATAAGATAACAATTTTTTAAATGACACAATTTACACAAGCTTTATACATTATGTTATTATACTTACTGGTCGGTCTACTGAGTATGGTTCGAAGATATTAAACAATTAATGATCTTGTTAAATATATTTGAACGATTTCATTCAGCATTGTTTACATTTTATTCATAACAATGTGGTAAAATGTTAAGTTATTTAGTAACTGTTATTTAAAATTGATTTACTTTGGTGTTAGCCGTTAGGTTTATAGAATTTAATTTTACGCATTTCATGCGTTATGTGATTTTGTAAATTTCCATTCACACGACAAAACTTGTTTATATTTTTAAGAACTACGTATTTTTCTTACGATTAATACTTTTATAACTATTTTTAATTCAAGATTGCAATTTATTGTTTAAACTTTTATCTGCATCTTTAATCGGTTAAGTATAGATATTTGATAAGATCGTAAACAGTTTTTAGTGTTCATAAAATGATATCAGTTATGAATCAGTAAATGATTTTAACGTCATTTACCTAAATAAGAATATAAGTGGTTCATAGTAGTTTTTAATATGTAAAACAACATTGCAGATATTACTTTACAGAATGTTATTTCTTTTTCTGTAAAAACTGTTATTAATAAAAATGTTATAAATCTCGTTGGTATTACTAAAAAACTAAAAAACTAAAGAAACTCTTCTTCAATCAGATGGTAAAGAGAAAGTCCATTGAGGTCAGTGGCCTCTGCAAATAATGGAATTGCACCACTTTTTCATTATTTTATTAAATTGTACTTCACTCCAATATCCCTTTTTAGTTGTTCTATATAATAAACGTAAAACTATAACAAAAAATAAATTTTAAAAATTAAAAAAATATTTATAATGTACCACTGAAAAATTCATTGCATTACTTTAAAAGTTTTTTTAACACTAAAAACAGCATACACAAACAACAATAATTTCTAAAATAAATGAAATAGTTAAGTCTGAAATTTCTTGTGACGTCAAAATATTGATTGTTTATTTATGATGCATTTTGCGTGGTTGCATGTAAAATAGTTTTCGTAGAAACTTTATGCATACAGTATTACAGTATATATTATTGAAATGTGTTTCGAAAAAAAACATTTCGAAAGAGCTGAAGATTGATTGTTGGTTATCAGTGTATGCATTTTATTTTTGTTTATACTCTAGTATTCTAGTATATAGGGACTTACATATTATTAAAATTATTTATCATAATATCGAATTCAAATAAATATAGTTACGGAAATTTAGCTTTTCGACGTGAAAATGTAAGTATAACGCGTCTTAATAACACGTGCTAAAATGAATGAATACATTAAAATATAGGTTGTGATTTATTCATTGCATATTTTATCCTCATCTCCCAATTTTTTCAATATGAAGAATATAACTTAATATAAAATTGTACATATAAATAAGATTTATTATTGATAGTTTTTAATTACATGTAAATATATAATACTATGCATAAATATCATTATGGTTGAACGGAATTTTTGATTTGTTAAGTCTTAATACTATTTTACTGTACATTTAAATTTAAGTATATCGGATACAAATAGTTAATTAATTCAGTTTTAACGAATATTTATAAGTATTAATTTATAACTATATTATATTGACATTTAACACCTGTAGTCTGGTCCGGATAAAATAACTCGATCGACTCAGTATCAGCATTTATTATTATAATAATAATTACTTATTTTTTAAATTTATATTGGTACATAATATTTTTATAACCATAGCAGCGTTCCTTATCACACTATATTATGTATTTATATATTTTTTATTTATTTATCTTTTCACATGAACGTGTTACCCACGTGATGTGATTTTAAAATAATATTGTTCACTTCCAATTTACCTGTTTATTTTCGTTCCCGTCGTTTGACCGCAAACCCAAAAGTGCAATTAAATAATTTTCGTTATCGCCAAATAATTTTCCGTTACACTATTTTCAACCTTGGTTAGTTTTATCGTTGTCACTGATCCCTATGTCATCATATCTGATGGTATGTCATATTATGTATTATACGCAGTACATTACTTTATAATACGCTACGGTGCTGTTTATTACTATTATTATTTGTTAATATTCACGCTACACGTGTATAACATTGTACATTTTTTTTTTTTAATTAATTTCTTTTGAAATCTATCGTTTGCCGAATACACAAGTGTTGCTATTATCATTGTTTTTCAGATTTCAGGTATGCTCATTCGAAATTAAATTGATATTACACAAATCCTGCTGCCCCATGGCATACTGATGATTTCCTCGTTGTATATTTCATATTATTCTACATATAATAAACCTAGTCTTCGAAAACGTGAAACTACGCCATTCGCCACTTTATTCTCTGTTTCTTCGCAGCTTACAATCGTATTGTACTTCCGATTGTTGATATTTACAACGGTATAGATAGATATTATTCGTTATTGTAAGCCTAAAAATAATCGCACAAAGATGACGCACGTGCAAAACGACACATTTCAATCCATCTATATATTTATTATTTTTTTTTATATATACTTCTTTATGGGTAACAGTTTCACTAAAACTTATAGGTGTATAGTAAACTCAAAAAATGTATTGTGTATATAAATATATAGATTAAAGGTTGAGCTTTTGACTTTCATTTATAATTGCAGGTTGTGTATTTACAATTATACAATTTTATTTTGTTTGTTCGCATCGTATCTACATTTAAAGCTAAAACTACGCATCTATAATGAAGTGTGGACAGTATTATTAGTTAATTTATTATAGTTATTAGTATGTAAAATAGGTTTAGTTTATTCAAAAATATGATAATTTACTAGGTAACATTTGTATTGAATTTTAAGTTTTTTTTTTTAAATTTAATATCTCCAAGCGATTTGGCCATGACAATTAATAATGTATAGGTGTTATTATTTGACGGGATCAGGTGGCAGTATTGTGCTAAACAGTTCCAACCCGTTCTCGGTTTTTAAAAAAGGGGAAAAAAGGTATTATTATATTATATTATTCGTGTACACTTGGACATAGTTATTATACTGTGATTTTATTTAGAATGTATAGCATTTATTAAAAAAAATTAAATGCTGTATGTATGGTAATACATTTTTGATTCGTTTATTTAAATTGTATGATATATTAATGTTATAATACATCAGAATTATTTGTGGGTTCGAATATCGAAAGTTCTATAAAGAATTGACCACGAACATTTTTATCGTAATGATAATGGAAGGTTAATGAAATAATAACATTTTAATGACCACTTTTCAAATAGTTTTGTTGCTTGTATAATCATATTTGCCGAGTTAATATCTAATATTTTATGATTTATTATAAGTTTTTAACACATAGTCTATGTAGGACGTAGGTGTACCCTCTGATACGTACTTTACATCCGAGTATGATATTTGAACGCCTAATTTATTTTATACTTATTTTGTACCACCGGGATGTACTAAATTATATGATTAACCAATGCTACTGCAAGTTTATTTGACCCAGTGTTCATCATTGTCTCATTTTACTCATCACAAACATTTTTCAATCATTTTACTTTGATTGAGGCCCATACTCAAAAGATTAACCATTTATTTATCATAAATAAAATGAACATTTTGCGTTATGATTACCCACATTTATTTTCAGTGGTAACTAGCAGGTATACTACGTACTAAACTATAGACCAAATAAACTCTGGTCACTAAATTGCTTAAATCATAATGGACATGGTTAGGTATTAGCTGAAAATAAGTGTTATTGCACCCAGAGTTATTAAACAATATTAGCTTTCAAGACAATAATTATTCTCTAATGTAGATGTATAAAAGTCATTAAGTGATAAATAATGTCTTATATAATTTGATTTTAAACGCAATTTTATTTTACGGCTCAAGACAAAAAATGATATCGATTTTTATAATACTAATAATAATACTTAATGCTATTCTCATTACTGAATCTCTAAAATCAACAGAGATGACGCCTTTCTATGACTATTTGTAATTCGGTCACGTTCTTTGGTGTAAATCACAAGTACCCATTCGTCTGAATTGCAATTGTAAATAAGTTTAAAAATAGATTTTGAAAAGTTTAATTATTATTCTTGGCGCAACATCATTTTCGTCGAACATTCCAAGGGGTCTCGAGAACAGTAACAATAAGTAATAACACGAATGTGCACATTAAACACCAAGTCACCACGTGACTGACAACCATCTCATTGAAAACTCGTCAGTTTTACGTGCCAACAGGCAACGAAAATAAAAATTTCATGTTGATTAGAGTATTATTATTTAAACCCGTACGCAGCTATATATTAAATTTACGCATGATTTAGATAGATTTAATGACGCACAAAATTATAAAAAATAAAATAGTGACAATAAATATAAATTATATTAATTTTATTAAGTGAATCCGATTTATTTCTATTTAATATACATATAAATGATATGAGGTTTACCTTGACCGTATGAATCTTGTCGGTAAAATGTATGTGTTTTGTTTTTAGAATTCCAAGGGCTTCGCAATGTGTGTCCATTATTATGGAGGTGACATTATGTAATATATATATATGTATGTATTGTTTTGTGCGTATTTATGTATATTTTGGCTGAGAAAAAGCGGAAATCGACAGTGTCGAAAATCGATATAGTGCCAGCCGTGTTGATGTATATATATTCTCTATTTGTATAAAATATATTCAATTGTGTTAGGTGCAATGTATAGTAAATAATATATAATTAATTTATTTCCTCACGCCACTAAATCGTTCGTTCTTTAAGTGTTCGGTATTGCAATTATTGTATTAGTATAATAATAATAAATAATAATATTTGGAAATTTTATTTTTGTTTTCCAGCAAACCGAAAACGAATGGAAAAGCTCGCAATGCAATCCTGTGACTCCGTCAGTCAAAAAAAACCATAAGAAAGAAAACTCACTGTTGAAATTCTTGGCTTTGGTATGTATATATCATATAATATCGTTTACCTATACTAATTGATGCGGTTGTGAATGAAAAACCGTTTACAATTTTAAATTCTCAAAACGTTATCAGCAGAATGATAAAATATAATATGGGGATTTATTTTTTTAGAACGCTCTGGAGTTGAGTGCGCCCGCAAGCGATGTTTTGCTACGCAACAATAGCACGACCACAGCCGGTACAGCGACGGATCCCGAAGTGCGAAGCGCAGTTAAGTCTCAAGAAACGGCGACGGCCAACGTACAGTCAACCACTTGTAGATCGGCCGCACAACAACAGTCGTGGTTCCAGTTGTCCGGACATCCGGACTGTTTTGCACCCGCCAGCCTGGGTACGATATGGAAAAAGTGCAGCGGCGGCACAGAGAGAGACGTGTACGAAGCTCTTTCCAACGAGCCCAGTCTTCAAGACATCGTGCCCAAGTATTACAGGGAAGTCGAGTACAACGGACAGACTTTCATCGAGCTGCAGGACCTGCTGTACGGCTTTCGAGACCCCAACGTCATGGACATCAAAATGGGCACGCGCACGTTCCTGGAGTCGGAGGTGAAAAACTCTTCAGCGCGACGGGACCTGTACCTCAAGGTGAGAGCGGGTGATCTATATGAATATAATGATATATCATTTGCGTCGCGTGTGTATATAACACCGATATATATGCCGCAAAACCTTGAAAACGCGAAAAATATGTTATAACGGGTTTTTTTTTCTTTATCAAGATGATTGCCGTGGATCCCGAAGCGCCGAATGCCGAAGAACGCGAATTGCAAGCGGTCACAAAACTACGGTACATGCAGTTCAGAGAAGAACAGAGTTCGACGTGCAGCCACGGTTTTAGAATTGAAGCCATGAAGGTAATTTTACCTACATTAAGAATTTTTTTTTTCTATTTCCAACGCGTACCATCAAATAATAACAACCGTCGTGTAATGACATTACAGTTTCGAGGTTCTCCGCCCGTTACTGACTTGAAGACTGTGAAAAGCGACGAAGAAGTAAATAACACTCTTGCTTTGTTCCTGGGCGACCGCCATGACATCAAACAGAGGCTGGTTGTCAGACTGAATGAAATACGGTCGAAATTGGATCGTTCTCTTTACTTTAAAACCCACGAGGTAAGTTGGCCGGAGATTGCATGTTTCGAAGACTTGTTCGTTTTTTCGGTCGATTGCCTATACTAAATTGACGTATTTCTACTGTAAAGATTGTGGGAAGCAGTATCTTGATCATATACGACGATACTAAGATCGGTGCTTGGCTGATTGACTTTGCCAAGACCAGGAAAGTACCCGAGCACACAGTACTTACCCACAGACGACCATGGGTGCCGGGCAACCACGAGGAGGGCTTCTTGTTCGGTCTCGACCATCTCATAGAGGTAAATAGTTCGTTGCGTTCAAAAGTCTTTAGTGTTATACTATAATGGTAGGTACACGTTGTTTTAACCGTTCGACTCTGTTTTTTATTGTTTTTAGTCAACTGAGAATTTACACATTCCTGTCTCAAACGATTCTGTTGCACCGTCTAGCTCTATTAAAGTGGAAACTTGAAAACTTTGTCGTCGTTCAACTTTCTCGTGGAATTTATCTAGTCAATAATATTTTTGCCTACACTACGCTGAGAGACGTTTCCTCGTTACACTATCACGTGTTAATATTTTTACACGATAACTATTTATTTTTTTGTTCTTAAAATTAATTTTAAGTGGTACATTATATTGTTTTTTTTTTTCTAATATTAATTCAGTCAGTGTTGACTGACATGACTGATTTTGCCTGAGCATTTGTAATCGGAGAATTCATTAAATATGCGCGAGATAAAATGAATTATTAATAATTTGCCCTTAAATCCATACTAAACAGGTTTATGTACCTAACTTCTCGATTCATTTATAATAATTGTCCAGTATTAACATTAATATTAATATTATGCATTTTTATTTTTAACTTTTTTTTTTGTATTTACATAATATACATTATTTATATGTACATATAATTGTTTTTTTTTAAATTATGTATTATCTAATATATTACCTAACTAAATTTAAAAGTGCTGTGTAGATCATAAACTTTATTAATTATTAACTATATAATTTTACTATACTATTTTTTCATACCTATGTTATTATGTTGTAATGTGTTAAAATAGCTACAAAGTGGTCTATATAGGTAATCAAAATCAGTTATAACTCTAACCCTTCTTTGAAAATTTGGTTTTTGACTTAAGACTCTAGTGTAATAATAGTAAATATTTAAATTTAATATTGTAGTTCAATCAGGAATTAGATTACTCGTTATTTAAGAAAAATCAAATACAAGAGACAAAAGGTGTAATAGGCACCTACAGTGATGAAATTCGTGATAACAAGTTTTGTTCAATAAAACCATTGATCTTTTGTTAATGTTTGAGCTGAGATTAAAAACTAATATTGCCAAATTTAGATTATGTTGTAATTGTTTATAGAGACATTCCATTCAAGAGGTTTGCTTAAATGTACATATGTCATATACATATTATTTTTATTCACTATTATTTATGTTTGTTGTAATTATTTGGTTAGTAACTAGTAGTCCAAATCTAAAATCTAAATATAAAATAGTGGTTGAATAGGATTACCACGATAAAATGACATTCGTTTATTTCATCATAACATAAGGTTACATTAATCGATCGACTTCAACAGTTCAATGCTATTATTACTAAAACTACGGTCCACAAAGTATTATATTTGCCAAGAAAATTCACCAAACATACCACTAATCTTTAGCATTACATTAATTTAGTAAATTTGAATTGTGGAATTAATATTTTAAATATTAAAATGTAGTGACAACAAAACTATGTGTGGGAAAATCCTTGTGATATGAATATTACAATAATAATATACAAATGCAATGTATTAAGAGGAATTTATATCGCCTAGTTTTTAGTAAAAAAACATCCACAATAGTGTTCTCATTTTTTTTTTTTTCATTATTCACAGCAAAATCATTAATAAAACATTTTTAAGAGAACAATATATTAATGACAATCCTATATCCATTTTTTAAAATAGATAGTATTAAATAAAAAAGTAAAATAGATTTTTGTAAATTGATATATTATCTTAGCAACGTTAAAAAATGTCTATTAGTTATGCATTTAATCAGTATTTATAAAACTAAAATTAAATTATATAATCTTAAGTAATAATGAAGTGTATTAAGCAATGCTCGCGACTTGCAGTATTTTAATCTTGATGTTACTTAGCTGTTTTTATATTTTTAGCACCATTTAATGTACATACTCTTTTTAAAGTAGAGAAAAAGATATACTTTTCTTCCAGTGTTAATCGATTTAATCGATTTATATTTATAGAATAATTTTTCATATAATAATGAGATTGTTACCATTTAGATAATTATTATTCCTACAATAAGGAGTTTCCCTATCTTGTATCTTTTACACACTTAATACATTTTTCTGCATGCATATTTCAGCATTTTTAGTGCTTATTATAACCTTTTTTAAAGCTACAAATCATGAACTTTGGTATACAAAACAACTAACTCAAAATGTAATAACTATTGGAATCTATTTCTATTATAATTAGGTATAAGTTAAATATATAGTTGTAACTAACAAAATACAATAAACTATAATAAAAAAAAGCATAAGATTATTAAGACCTGTAAAGAATAATAAAAAAGAAATAATTAATAATAATAGCTAATTTAAAATTAAAAATTTTATGTGAACACAATGAAATTAAATTAGTTCAAATCATCAATGATATCATCTTCGGATTCGGGTTCGGATTCGTCGTCATTATCATTTATATTTTCTACATTAAAAGGATCAGCATCATAATCAGATAGTTCAGAGTCGTTGCTACTCGATGACTTTTCATGCTCTTCTAAATGCTTTTTCAATGTAACGCGTCTTGAAAATATTTTTTTACAAGTCTCACAAATATAATGTATATCTTCATTTCTAAACAAAAAAAATAAAAATAAAAATAAATTTACTTTAGCATTATGTTTGACTAAATAAACTGTTACTTTTTAGTAGCTGGAGCAGGTTTATCTTTTTTAGATAATGCATTGCAATTAGTCAAATGTTTTTTAACAGCATCTTCACTCAACATACATACTAAGCACATTTTGCAAACCCATATAGTACCATAATCACTGGGTGAATTATCGTATCTTACCATAGTACGAGGGCAAAAAAGTTTCTCTTTTGGTTTGGAGATCGGAGCTCTAGCCTTTCTTCGTTTGCGCGATTTACAATTCACAAACGGATTTTTGGGCATCTTTAGTGTAGAAATTCTGTTGACAAAAGTTAAAACTTTATAAATATTAAGAAAAATACAATAGTTAAAAATCAATACACTTATGGTATACCTAGTGTTTTAACAAATAAAACAATATTATAAATAACCATCTGCTGTACAGTAGGTATCAAGCATATTATCGTCCACACTACAAAAATATGTTTAATTTGAATTCAATGATAATCATTATTTATGATGTAATATAATTCTGACAAACATCATCTAATTTTTTAGTTACCAAGGTTAACAATTATCCTTTGAGCTTTAATGACCTACGTGGTATCAGACTACATAGTTGTGCATATATTTTTTTACATTAAATTAAAAATATTATTTTATTGTTTATTGTTATATTATAAATTATAAAAAAATTTTAATTTCCTGACCTCTCAACATCTTATAGATCTATAAGTCTAATGTCATACCTCTCAAAAATTTACAAAAGACTAATATTTAAGTGTATTTTTCTACACATAGTATTATCAAACAATATACTTTCATCTTCACAATTTGATTTTAAAGCTAAACACATTCAAATATATCAAGTCCATAGAATAATTAATACAATTTTTACCTTACTCGGAAAAAAATGCTACTAAATTTGTGCCTTTTAAGACATCTCCCAGAAGCTTATGATAGAGTCTGGAACGAGTCTTCTGTTTAAATTCCATAAATGTCCTCCTCCTACATAATTCCTACTAATGGAATCATATCTTATTGACTAACATTTTCATATATTTTAAGATTACTCCACTTCAAATATAGCCATTTAGTATAAGGTGTTCTTTCACCTAAATTATAATACTTATAATTCTGATCGACCTTTTACACAAAAATATTCTTGTTGCTGATTATGTCGATGATAAAGTCATATTAACAGTACACAATGATGATCTAGTAATTGCCTTGAAAAATGTACAATCCCATCTCTTTAACCTACTCTCTGAATGGTAAACAAAATGGGAAATCAAATTAAATAACAAATTTGTTCATATTGCATTCACTTTGAGACACAAACATTGCCCTAATGGCCTTAACATACTTGTAAATAATCTACCTATTACTAATCTTGTCACTGCTAAATATTGTGGTCTAAACCCGGTTCCATTTTTATATGCACTATGAATGTACAAGTGTGCACTACAATTTGAACATGTGTGCAATATGGTATACAAAACAAAAATTAAATACTATGCCAGCTACTAAGAAATATGAGTATTTCCTGAATTATATTAAAATTCAAATTATATTGAATTATAATTTCTTTTTATCAATTTTCAAACATTGTTATCAATTAAAATACTTTATACATATTTCATAGTTAATATTATGCTTGTTATGATTTTAATTATTAAATAGTTAAGTTTAAGTTTTTATTATTATATGCTACAAAATGTTGTTAATTTTGATTAAAAAATAAGTATTTTGTTGCTTGATTTAATTGCATTGTTAAATTATTAAATATATATATATTAGGGCAAAGTAGACTATCGGGCAATGTTTTACATTGTTTGGTCAATAAATACTTTGCCTGGTGTTTTTGGACAAAATATTAAAAATACTATTTTCACCATGCAGGGTTGTATTTTGACCGGTCTAAGCTACTTTTCCCATACTCCATAGTAAATTGAACATTGAAATTAAGCTATCAACAAAACTTTTCATTTAAATACATTTTTTTTTTTTTTTTAATGCGTTAAACAATTAAGAAAGAGTAGATATAGTAAGGAGGATAGGTACTATGTTACAGTCAAATTAGTAAGTACGTATTATATTTTTGGAGTTATATATGCACTTTTATATTTATATTTAATAAAGTAATTGGTATGAAAGTATAGAAGAAATGTTTAGATGTAGTGCAAAAATTGGATTAAAATCATCCAATATATCCAATATCAATAATTAATAAATTAAAAACTGAAAAAATGTAGAAGCAGCTATAACAACTATGAATACTGGAAATTATTGTGAAGTTGATGAAACATTGATTGAAGGAAAAATAGATAATAGAATAAATAAAATAATTGCTGTAAGAACAGAGTCAGTTGCTTGTAAATTCAATTGAATTGGTTTACATTACTCAACCTAAACCAAGTAAAGTATAATTTTGCCTACATTGCCCATCATAGTCGGGCAGTACCATAATGCCCGAGCAATGTTTACATTACTCGATAGTCTACTTTGCCTGTAATATATATATGTAATACATTCCTTTTTCTAAGACAGTATTGAGAATAAAATTTCTGTTTAAAGTAATAAAATTAAGTGTACAGTCCGAAATTATACACATAATAGGACTTGGTTTAAACTTAAATATAAGACAAACATAACAAAATCGTTTTAGAAAAAATATTAGTAATTAATGCCCATTCACAATTTTTTAAAATATTACTCTTAGAAAATAAGTTCTCAACTCTAAAATCTAAATTACTAATATATAAATTTTTTCTGAAAACCATATGGACATACGGTATGTATCCAAATATGGAGATATGTAAAAAAAATCTAATTTAAATGAAATTCACTCATTCCAAAATACCTATTACACATTGTAAAATTACTAATGCTCTACCCTTTGTCTCTAACCTTATCCTTCATAAAGACTTAGATATAAAAACAGTAAAAGAAGCAGCTATTTTCTAAAAAAAATTTTATATTAGATTAGAAAACCACAAAAATCCTTTAATAAAAGGCTTACAAATCCTGCCACTTCTTGAAAATCTATGCTGTAGAGGGCATTTAACTTAATCATATAATAACCCAACTTTCAAATTAAATGCTACTAATGGGTGACTCTTTATTCATTTAATTCCATTAATGTTTTTATTTTCCTTATGCCACATATACATATTGTACTTTTTTGTAAAGATTATATTTCTTGAAAAAATAATAAAAATAAAAATAGGTTTGTACACATAAATTGCTTTTTTTAAGCAATAATTTCAAATTAAATTAATACATTTGCATGTATTTATATTTTATTTTAAAATCTATTACTATATTCATAGGCGCAACTAGACCAATACTTTTGAGGGTGCACAAATAGTGAAGAGCTCACAGAGCCGTGGGGGCAAAGCCCCCACACCCCCACATCATTACTCCCATTACCGTTCACATTACACAAATGAAAAAAGTAATAGCTATAATATAAATATAGTATAATATCATTATAATTGTTATTCCACGAATTACGAATAACTTCGTTTATGAGACCCATATAAAAACGTTATAAGTCAAAACTTATTGTTTATTAGTACATTATAAAATAAGACTACATATAGTGTCGGTATAAAATATATATGTATACACTATACATTATGTATAGCAGGGAACATAATAGCAAATAGGAAACTATTTTTCTCAATAATATACATTATGATACCTACAATAATTTTTAGAAAATGGATTTTATTTTTCGAGAGTGCACATTCCAAACTTGGGGGTGCACAAGTCCCCTGTACACCCCCCTAGTTGCGCCAATGACTATATTATGATTTTGTAACTTAATATTATTAGCGATCGTACTTTTGTCATACACCAAAACTCAAACTCAAACTATTTCAACATCTTAGCTGGAGCTCCCCAAGGCAGCGATATTGCTCCTTTCCTCTACAATATCTTTAAGCATGACGTTTCTAAAACTTCCTTTACTGAAATTGGTTCCTACATGAATGATACAGAAATTGTAATCTCCAATGAAAACCCAATTGTTTCAAGTATGTTACAAAGACACCTCAACATAATCGACTTCTGGACAAAAAGATGGAAGATCAAAATTAATGAATCCAAGTCTTCCTTCATTACATCCACCCTAAAAAAGTATTTTGCCCCTTAGTCACAATGAACAATATCCCAATCCCTTCCTACTCAAAGTTAAATATCTTGGTCTCATCCTTGACAGTAAAATTACCTGGAAACCTAACCCAAATGCCAAATAAAAAGCCCTTAATATCCGACTCCACCTCCATAGACCCTTAATGAAATCTAAAATGAATATAAATACCAAACTACTAATTTATAAGTCCTTACTCAGGTCACTGTGAACCTATGACGTTCAATTATGGGTTGCCGCTAAACCCTCAAACACCCATACAATACGAGCCTTTCAGTCAATATGCCTTCGCCTAGTTACATCTGCACTCTGGTACTTAACCAACAATAATCTCCACAAAGATCTTAAAATCCAAAATCTTAACCATATTTCCAAACTATACTCAATCAGACTTCATAAAAAATTTCAACAACACACAAATCTACTAATCTCTAAATTACAGTGGAACCTCGATAACTCGAATTGGTTGGGGACGAAAAAAAAATTCAAGTTATTGAAAATTCGACTTACAGAGGTTACACATATGATGTTATAAAGTAGGGGCCAAGACATTCTTTCGAGTTATCAAAAATTCGACTTATAGAAGTTCGAGTTATCTAGGTTCAACTGTATCAACAAACACACTTCCTAATAACCCGCGTTGTAGATTTAAAAGGCAACGGTGTAGAGATTTTATTCTATAGTAAGCGAGCTTATAAGTGTTGAAGATTGCTACCAGGTAATACTTTCAAACCTTAAATAAATTTTTTTCTTTTCATTGTTATTACTATCACTTTAAAGAGTGTTACCACTGGGTATCCTCCCTAATCTCATGATTTAAGTTATTTTCTTTTATTTGTCATTTATCAAACCTACTCATTGTACAAAAAATAGGTATGTGTAGATTGTAGATTTATTTCAATATACATTCATTTTTGTTTCATATACATAGTTTGATTTTAATTCCTATAAATCTGAGCCTAAATAGTAACTTATAAATATCTAGTAGTCAGACAAATAAATAAAATTAATATTCCCCTGAATGTTATATACATTTTTTTAAAAATGTTGAATGTTACACAAATTTAAATGCATGGCGACAATCATAATTTTTTTTTTTTAATTTTATCATATTTATAAGTTGAATATTAAAGTACAATATAGTTGACATATATATTATAATGATCCTTTGTATTAAAGTATACAAACCTAACTAACCCTAAGCCACAAAAATGTAAACATCACACAATGTCATATAGGTGAGCATATTATAGGTTTGAAATTGTATTCATAATTTTTTTCTAATCAAAATTTTCAAGGTAAATTAATGTATAATAATAAAAAATATACTTGACAAACATGCGTTAAGGGTCAACAAAAAGTCCATAGATATACAATATACATACATAAATCAAATGATTAATTATTTCTTAATAGTTAATCCTTGTATTGTATTCCTTACATACACTATGGTAGAAGCGGTAAAATGCGACCGGACACAATAAACTTATTCACGGATATCGCATTGATTTACTAAGACTAAAGATAATAGAATATTACAGCAACCAATGCAGTGCATGCAAATCTTTAGTCTTAACATAAAATGATGACATTATAATTATTTAAAGATTAAATATTTTAACCAATTAAAGTATAACATGAAATAATGTCTGATGGCAACTTCTTAGTATAGAAGTTTATATAGGTACATTAATCCATCACACAATATGACAAAATGTATATTATTATCAAAATGTCTAAATAAATTATACAAACATCACACAATACTTACACTTAGTAGTTTTTTACAAAAAAATAAAAAAATAAAAATGAAGATATACCTTAAAAACGTGAATTTTATATGTAATATGTATTACGCATTAAGATAAGGTTTATCAATAAATAATTAAAAAATAACAAAACGAAATCACTTTTGTTAAAATAGTATGAAATAGAACTAGGAGGCAAAACATGAGAATTCATTGTGGCAAACTAAAATATTACTATTTTTATTTTTATTTTAAATACTTACTAGACGCTTCGTTCTTCGTAATTTTGAAACCAGTTGAAAATTTTGTAAAACTCTTCTGTAATCCGTTGCAGACCAAAGATAATAATAATACACCTGACTAACAAACAATTTACAATGAAAATGAATAATTGTACAATTTGTAATGTACAGTACCCAGATATGCATACTACACACACAACTACACAAATCACCTGACTTCAGGGCGGGTCGCGGGTAGCGATCATTACTCTAACCAAAGAACTTTAGTGCAAGGCACTTAGGTTTATTCTCATTCGCCGTAAAGTCCAATACAAAGAAGTGATAAATACCAATGTAAATCATGGAATAATAAAAATATGGACTATGGAGGTAATAAGCATTGACTATTATGAAAAAAAAAGTCGCTAATCAAACGACAATAAATAATAATATTAAAAATATTAAATTTATAACGTATAGCACGTCATGTCAGCTGACGCCATTAAATGTTTTTTCACCCTTGGGTGTTTAAATAATATTTTGTAAATTATGAACACAGCCATATAACCATTTATTGTTCAGTGATATATTACTATAAAGTATAAAGTTGTATACCTATTGTGATCTATTTAGTATTTACTATTATTCTAATTTCTAATACGTTCAATCGCTTCACGAACAATATGTCTGATAAATTATGTTGGTCAGCCATATTGTTCTGTGATGAAAAAAAAAGGTACTAACACAGATATATAAAACAACTATATAAATAACCGACTTCTTATACAACATTACGGGAGAACAGGAATTACGCCGCCATATGCAAAGCTGACAATGTTTACATAATTTGTAATGATAACGTTTCTTAATAACGTTTTAACGTAATTTTAAATATTAAAATAATTAATTTAATTACAATTTAAAATTTGGTTTTGGCATACCTATGAGAATATGAAATTATAAATATCATATCTTAACCACAAATTATATGATATTGATTAATTTCTGAAAATTACAACTAATTCCTGCTCCCTGGTCAAAAATATAACTTATATGTGCCTTTGTCTAAAAAAACAAAAATAAAAATTTGTACAAAAAAGTGAGCTGCTTTTTAAAAATTCAGTACTTACAGCAGCTGAAATTAATTAAATTAATTAGGTACCTATTTGTGTAACATTTGGTATAAACGATAGTGCAGTTTAACAAATGCTTTTAATTTTATTTAATACTTGAGATGAGTTACTAGAAATGTAAGAAAAGTAACAAACTAACAAAAAGTGAATACTAAAAAACAAATGTTAAATACTAAGTTTTTATTTAATTCAATAAAAATTATATTATTAAAACTTATACAATAGATTTATTAAATCATTAAAATTTAAACAATATACATATTATATACATATTTTGTACAGTGGCGTAACTATAAAATTCTAGCCCATGTGCAATATTATTTTATGGCCCCTAAAAATCGTTATATGAATAAAATTAGACAATTACACGTATGTATAAAATGTATAATTATATTATGTAATATAATATTTATAATTCATAAAATATATCATAATTAATTAAATTATATTTATACATGAAATAAATGACATAACAATATGTATTTTTATACTCTTCGTAATTTAAAAGTTTATGGTTTTATCGTAGTATATTATTTATTATAAAATAGTTTAAAGTTATTAACAAAATATAAAATTTTAATATATTTTAAACAAAATATTAAAATTCTAGGGCCCCCTTTTGGACCGTCTAGGCCCCGGGCCCCGGTGCAATGCACACCTATGCAACCATGTAGTTACGCCACTGATTTTGTACTATTAAACTTGACAAAAAAATGCTTTATAATAAATGGGTATTTATTGGAATAGTATCATGGAAAAACATTATTATTTATAGTTATTATAATGTATAACACGAGTAATGGTTAACTACTTATTTAATAAAAAGATAGAATATATAAACATAATTAAAAAAATAATTTACAATATTTAACCATAAGACATAGAACAATAAGTAGGTAATTTAATAAAAATATATAGAAAAATAAATAATTAGTGTACATTATTGATGAGAAAATAATATTTGTTTAGTTAGTGTGTGACGCTTTCTTATGTGGATTTAAAATATTAGAAGAAAATATTTTGCCATAAAATTTGAGTCGGGTACTTTAAAATCTGTTAGTAAATAAAGTAATAAGTACAATTTTATGTGGTCTATCTAATATGGACATGGGCGCCCATAGGTAATATTTTAAGGGGGGGGGTCAAAATAAAAAAATTTTCGAATGTAAGATAATAAAGATTTAATGTTATTTTTCACATATAAATGTATATACTATACATGCATGTTATATTTTTATTTGTATATATAGTGTATTAATAATAATTACCATACGAATAAATAAATTAATTAATAAATAATAATTGCCATACGAATAAATAAATAAATAAATAATAATTTTAATTGGAGATTTTAAACCTTTAAAAAATATGGGTACAAAACATTCAAAACAACAAAAATCGTATATACCAGTGTGTCCAGTTGACATAGACATTATTTTCCTGTTTATTACCTGCAAACGGCTCATACTGTTATACTGATTCTCCCACTTAAGATTCGTTGGATACCATGTCGACTGTCGAGTAGCGAGCGCACTGAGCGCAGGCTTCAAATTATTTATCAAACGTTTTTCCATTTCAAATTTTCGAATATTTACATCGAAATAAAAAGAAAAAGTTTTTCCATTTATCGGCGTTTACTAGTCGTTCATTATTCATTACTTTGACGGTTGTCCACCAATAAAACAATGAAAACTGTTACAGAAAATAATCGAAACATTTCGGACAAGGTAAATGTTGTTATTTTATAATATAATAAATTATAAGATCAAATCAATCGTTAAACTCATTGATAATTGTTACTTAAATAACATGTTGAACTGAACTCCCGATGTTTTCAGATGTCAATCAAAAAAGGTACCAGAAAATTCTTGCAAACATTGCAGCCGTCTGGTGGCGACAAAGAAAATTTGGTTGGGACAGGCAGATTTCATGAAAACAAGTATGATTTTTTTTTTTTTTTGTTATATTGTATATTGTATAATTATATTTATATGTATAAATATGTTACATTAGTCCTGATCCAAAAATATTGAAGCCACAACTTAAGACTGAAGTAGAAGTTAAATCGAAGGAAAAACAGTCTATAATTGAAAAAATAAATCCATCCCTCTATAAAAAGTTAATTATTGAAGATCTCACTAGCACTGGTATGAACTTCCTAATTGTATATTTTATTTCATTCTTTTTCACAAGCAATATGCTGAGTACAAATGTAATCATAAACTTGTCATTTTAGCTGGTCCTAGTGAAAAATATTGGGAAGTTATTGCAGAACGGCGCAGAAAGGCTTTGGAAGAAGTTCTTGACCAAAATCGTAAATTACATTCCGTAATTATGGCATTGGAAGAAGAGAATGCATCTTGCAAAAAATTACTTGAGCAAACAACTGATCTCGTTAACACATTAAAGGTATACTTAAAATAATTTATTTACACAATTATTTAACATAACTGTTAACTATAACAAAACCTTTTTATTTTATTTCTATTTAAGAATTAACTAATTTTTCTATTTTTAGTTATTTTTATGAAAATCCAGTGTTTATACTAAAATATGTTACCTTTAAATACTTGAACAAAAAATTTATTTATCTTTTAACAATTATAGGAAGTATTAAATGAAGATGATAAACAAGCTGAGGATGATGATGATGTAAATTTGTTAGTCGACTCAAAGCAATCAAACAGCAACAATGATTTTTCCTGCAGTGAATCTGATTAAATTCTTTTTATATTTAACAAATCATTCATTTTTACCTGTTATTTAACTGATTTTTTTTTTTTTTGTTCCTACCGAGTAATAATTAATTTTGAATTAAACTATCAATATTTTTTTAAATAAATATCCATTTTTGAGCTAACAGTTTTTATGTTAATTTATGTTCAAATAATCATGATTTGGTTATTCTATAAATATTTACTAAATCGGCTTATGATATATTATATACACATAGAAACAATAAACTAACTATTAAGTTAATATAAGAACTTAGTCTTTTAACTTTCTTATTTTTAATAAGTATTTAAAATTCATTGCTATTTCAACAACAATCAATAATAATCAACATTATAATATGTGTTCTATTTTAATTATTAGTTTCATAATTGATTTAAAGGTTTTGCTCACAATCTTGGTATAATACGCTAAGAGATTGTGTAGTATATTATACTAAATATGGATGTATGTATTTATATAATACTTAATATGTAAGTCAGAAAAATTAAATTTTACCTACAGTTAAATGTGATTAATGATTTGTTCTCGCAGTAAGCCTTAACATTCAATATTCCTTTAGATTTTTCAAAAGTAATTCCTGATTCTAAGCATGTAATTTCATTTTCCATGATTGGACCTATAAATATATATCAGTGTTTAGTTTTTACTCCGAACACTGCTTGTATTAGTTATCTATAATCATCGATATCATTCGCTATTCTTGAATTTCTTTAAATAACATAACCTTAATTTTCCCCTACAACTTATTATCAATTGTTTATTTGAATTTATTTTTTTGCTATTAACTACAGCTTAGACATGTTAGTAAATTTATGATGAAAAAAAAGTTCCTAATTAGAAACTTTATAGTTGTTTTTATCTATTGATCATTATTGAATAATTTTGAGCAAGTGACAAGTATATATGTATAATATAATACAATGGTAACCAATTAATTATTATCATGATAGAGGTAAAGGGATTAGGTTTTATATAGAAAGCCAAAAAAATACAAAAACATTAAAATAATGGTAATTGATGAACATATTGAATACTAGTGATTAAAAATTAAAATATAGTCTCATATTAGGAATGTTTATTAGAGAAAATTTTACATAATATTATGTATAAAAATTCATAACAAATGGACAATGGTTTTAAAACTAAGTAAATTGTTCCCATAACCTTAGAAATTCTTGTCTAAAAGGATTAACCAATTCACAATTATTTGTAATGAATACATTTTCCCAATTTGTTCGAGGTGACATAGTCCAATTCAAAGACCCTAAGATCACTTTTTTGTTATCAATAATAACAAACTTGTGATGCATTAAATACTTATCATGTTTATTAACTCTTTTTGAGATACCCACATTACTTATTTTCCATGTAGTCATAAAATTATCATAATCTACAATTAACCTGACATTAACTCCACGTTTATAAGCATCAAGAATTGCATTTGTTAATAATTCATGACTTAATGTATATAAACAGATATCCAAAGTATTTTTTGCTCTATTAAGATATCCAATCAATATGTTTAGTTTGCACTTAAAACACTCATTATTTTGAACAACAGGTGTTATAGCTGCTATGTTTCGGTGAAAATTGCAAATTTCCATGAATCCGTAGAAAAATAACACCTCTGTTTCTTCTCGGTAGAAATAATTGTACAAAAAAGTTGAAAATGATGCACTACTGCAAGCCAATATAATACTTCCTAAGCGATGTATCATGGTCAAACTTCTGTAAGAAAAATTTTATATTTTTATTATAAATTTATTATATTATATAAAATTAAATTTTAATTCAATAATACAAACTCCAAAGTATGGAGTACCTATAAGAAATTTTAACTTAATAAAATGTCTTCATACTTGAAATGTCAAGAGAACATCTATTTTCATTTAAAATTGTTTATTTTAATTTTAGTTAAATATTCATTAAATGTATGTATGTGACTATTATTGACTATTATTTATTATTTACATTTAATAAATATTGTCTTTGAAAATTATTGTGATGATATAATAGATTTGTTCTAGTAAAAATTGTCTTGGATTGATAAATTTATCATTTGATAGATTAAATATCACTATATCTAAGTAATCTTAAAAACTCTCAATTTTAAAAATCATATCCCAGTCAATATGATAATTGAGTTATGAACTGTCTACAGCGACTCATACTATTTTAAATTATTATAAATTATACTAAACAAATTTTGTAAACTAAGTAGTGGTTCACAATAGTAAACCATTATGTACTGACAAAAATCTTTAACATTAAATTAATAAGAACTGCACATTTTTTAAAAATAATTAAAGAAGTATAATTATTTTATTTTTAATAAACTCAAAAAACTTATAAATTAAATAAAATTCATACTCAATACTCATAATGAATAACTGTAAATAATTTACTATATAGTAAATGATAACCATATTTTATTTTAAAGATTATATTTACTTACTTTCTAGGTAAAAAATTAAAAATAGTACCTTACCAATAATAATATAGGCTTTTTTCTAATTAAGTCTATATACAATAATAAAGTTTAAAATAATGAAACATTATAATTTAAAATTTTTCAATCAACACATTTTAAAAATCAGAAGAAAATACCAATTGAACAAATATTAAATTGAATTCAAATTAGATTTTAAATAACAATAATATTGATAACAGCTTATCAGCACACGTGGGTAAAACCTATGGTAAAATCGTTTAGTCGTAACTCGTAATAGAAAAAATAGGTACTTTAATCTTTTTAGATTTTGTTTGTCAGTTTCTAATGTCTTTTATTTTTCTGTAAGAAATGATATTAGGCAATAATAATGTGTACCTGTATCTGTTTGTTTAGTTTAAACTGTTTAAAGCATTCGAAAATCGAAAATGTTATTTTTATTTTATAGTGATCTAATGTTCGAGTTATTTAAAATGTAACTTAAATTTTCTTTGTGATTCTTCTATTTTTTTTTTATCATTATTATTAATTATAATTATGGACTCAATATTTTTATCCAACATACCTGATTCCAAAGGTACAACTATGATTCAAAAATTGTATGCATCTGATACTATATTAGACAATAGTCAGTTCAATCAGTACGTCTTATTAAAAATATCAGACAATGCTAAAATATTGTGTAAAATAATTCCTCGACTGATCTGTACAAACTTATTTGCTAGTTGTGATCCAAGTGTTATTAAGCATGCACCTCACAAACTAATTAATCCATTGACAGTGAAGCTAGAAATACCTATTAACAAAGAGCACATAGAACCAATTTGTGTTTCCAACTCTAAACGTATGGTAGTCAGTGTTGTATTTAAAGATGTGAAACATCAAAATATTTGGTCCAAAAATCTTTTCAAGTTGGCCGATGCCATTAGACATTTACTACGATTATTTGTAGTACATAACGATTGTGTAGTGAATTTAAAAAGACTTAAGTTAAAACAAAACTTTAATATTGATTTCATACTTGTACACAAGACTGATTGCAAAAACAATGCTGCACGTATTAATCCAGATACTACCATAATGATTATTAAAACTATGTCTGCCATACAATTTTATCAAGCAGAAATTGGATTAGAAGTGGTACCTTTATTTGGCTTGGAGTCTCAAGTAAAATTTCTAAAAAGCATCATTAAAGCTGCAAGAAATGGCTGTAGTCCTTTATGTAATATGGTATATATATTATTGAAGATTAACATATTTATTAAACATAATTAATTATTTTTCATTTTTTAGATATTATTAATCGGTCCATCTGGTAGTGGAAAAACAAGGTTAGTTACTCATGTTGCTGCATCACTAAAGTGCATACTTCTTGACATAATGTCTACAGACTTGATAAGTGCTGATCCAGGTTCTACAGAGTCAGTTATTCGTGCTTTATTTAAAAGAGTACAGTTATTATTAGAGCAAGATAACAAAAGTGAATAATAGTTTTAATGTAAATACATTTTCAAATTTATTAAATTGATATTTTACAGTTGTTTGTATAATAATGATGGAAAAGGCTGAAGGTATACTTAATGGTAAAAGTTCTAATGCTAAACGAATTTGTGCTCAGATACAAGATTGCTTAACATTTTTCAATAATTGCTGTCGACTTATAGTCATTGCAACTACTAGCATGCCGCATTTAATTGATACATCTTTTAAACAAGGGTCAAGATTTTCATATGAAGTAAGTACCTTTTTTAATAGGTCACTATGCAATTGAAGTTACAATTGTTTTAATTATTTTCATAACTCTTTATTTTTTAGATTTATATTGGTGTTCCATCAGAAAAAGAACGAATTAAATTAATACAAGGCTTTTGTGGAATTTTGAATATAAATATTAAATCTAATATTGTGTCATATTTAGCTAAATTAACACCAGGATACACTGCAGCTGATCTAGAATTAATTTTCAAAGAAATTCTTAATGAATCTCATTTAATTTCTGAATTGTATGTCAATTTCTTGTTAAAAATAATTTTGAATTAAAAATGTATATATTTATAAATTTCAGAGAAATGGGTATATTGTGTGGTACTATTTCACTTATTGCTAAATACCCAGCTTCGTCTTTAAAATCAGGAATTGGTCAAGTCATTACTAAGTCAGAATCTTGTTCAACTACAACTTTAGGTGGCTTAACAAATGTGAAACTAATGCTAGATGTTTGTATTAAATGGCCTCTCATTCATCCAAAGGCTTTTAAGTATTTCGCAGTTCCACCTCCTAAAGGTAAGGATTACAGTCTACAGATTTAGCATAATATGCATATTGTGCACTTCAATATTTTTCATTTCACTTATAATTGGTAATGGTTTTGTGTTGTTTATTATTTAGGTGTTTTACTTTATGGTCCTCCTGGATGTGGTAAAACAAGCCTTATACGTTCAATAGCTTCATCAGCTAATTTAAATGTTCTTACAGCCATGGCTGCCGAATTATATTCTCCTTATTTAGGTGTAACAGAAGCAAATATTTCACAATTATTTCAAAGAGCTAGAGCAAATGTTCCAGCTATTTTGTTTATAGATGAGATAGGTAATAAGCAGACTATTGATGTATATAAAATGTTTTGCTAATCTTTTTTTGTTCTTAATCTTGAAAATTAAAATCTTTGATTTTAATTTTATTAGACTCATTAGTCAGTTGTCGTTCCAAAGAAAAAAAAGGATCATCTGGATTTGATGACCGAGTTTTATCAACATTTTTGGTTGAAATGGATGGTATCACAAATGATACAGAAGTATATTATATTTGAAATAATTAACATTATAAACATACGTACAATTATTTAAATTATCTTATTAAATATTGATAGCATGGACAAGGAGTTGTAATTGTGGCAGCTACTAATCGTCCAGATAATATAGATACTGCTTTATTAAGACCTGGAAGATTTGATCGTCAAATCTATGTGCATCCTCCACAAACAATCGAAGAACGTTTGAACATACTTCATACTATTGTTAATAATCCTGAACAAAGGTATACGGTTTTACTAGCAAAAATTTTTTAAATTTTGATGTACCTTCTTCACCAACTTAACCTTAAATGTTAATTTTAGTATGCCTCTTTCTGATTCGTCAATTTTAAATGAAGTCGCCTTGATGACTGATAGGTTTTCAGCAGCCGATCTTGCAAGTGTCGTGAAAGAAGTAAATATTGAAATATTACTTAAAAATTATACAAATAATATTTTGTTTGTTTTTTAGGCTGGTCTCTCTTGTTTAACTAAAGATGGTCTTAAAACATTTACAACAGTTAAAAAACAACATTTTGAGGATGCGTTAGCTAATGTTAAACCATCATTATCTGAAGAGCAAATTTTGTGGCAAGTATAGTTGTATTATAAATTTATAATTTATAACATGATCAATTTAATAGGTTAAATTATTATTATTATAATTATTATTTAAGCTTTATCCAGGTTAGGATACATGTATCAAGAACATAATATATCGTTGAAATTTTGCTAACATGAATATTTTACCATTTATAAAGGAAAATTAATAACTTTATATGATAAAAATGTATTTTTAGTTTAGTTGCAGCTTAAGATAGGCAAATATATAATTATTTTTTGAATAAGGTTAGCTATTAGTTTTTAAAAATAAATAAGATAATTGTTATAAATTAGCAACAGTTACCATACATATATAGAATAATATTAACATGTTGACTGCCATATGAGTATATGACTATCATATTATGGTAGTCAATGTGTTAAATTACCTTTAGTTTTTATAATTTGTAGAACAAAAGAATAAAATGATACTTACGATATTAAATTTTAAATTTTGATATGGTTTTAAGAATTTTATGATTAGTGATTATTATAATAACAAACTATTAAATGTATATTATGAAATAGTATATTTACATAAAATATTATATTCTGTCTGTTATCTACCAAAATAAATCCATTTTATGCCAATTATAACAACTATCTTAGTAAACAAATTATACTTCTGAAAACATTTTCAAATTCGCCATGAAGTTAAAATTTACTCTTCTACTTTTTTTAAAATTAAACTCAAAAAAAACCTTAAAATTTTGGAGAATTATACTTAAATTTAATTTTGAAATTAAAAGTATAAAAAAAATTGATAGTGAATTTTATAATAAATCAAAGTATATTTTTCAAAATAGTATTAAAAAAATAGTTATTTAATAGTTATTAGTTACTTACAATTGGAAAGATATTAATACTTATTACAAAAAAAAAAAAAAAACTACACAATAATATTAATTGTTTTTTTTGAAGCATGTTATTGACATGTATGTATAAGAGTGTTCTGTTATTTCTTTTACGCGCTAATAATTATTTTACATTTACCATTCACTTAGAAAATTATCTGTATTGAATTCTTTTAAAATGGTTATCTAATACCCTTAAAATATTAATTTTATTGTATTATCACAATCAAATTTTTCATGATCTCTCATGTTTGTATTTTTGTTTACAGGTATAGCAACTTTTCCTCTCAACAAAAAAAGTAAATATTTTATTTTATAAAGAATTTGATCTACTTGTTATGTAAATAATTACAATACTTGAGTATAAATTTTTTTTTTTTTTTTAAATATACTATATCTCTTAATTTGTAAAAAGTATATACCATCTAATCTTGACATTTTTTAACAAATATTTGTAGGTGACTACATAGTGTACAATATTCTAACATTAGCTAAATATGTATTTATGAATAATTTTTATATTAGAAAAAAAAATAGCTTTTCTGACAGGATATGATTCAAAGTATTGTATAATATACAGAGACTAACTTTACTATACTAGTGCAAATGACATAATAAATGGATAATAAAGTACATTTAGGTAGATGAATCAAAAAACTTTTTTAAGATTTTGGATATAATTCATTAATTCTGATTTACATTGAATGCTTATTCTTAACTAAAATCTAAATTTATGAAATAGTAGCATAAATTATATTAAAATACTGTTTATTGATACTATTTAAACATAAGTTTTATTTTTATTTAAATATAATTTAATGAATGCTTATTACAATTTAGTATTTATCATAATTAAGAATAGGATAGTATAGGATTTTGCATTTTTTTTTTAGGATTTATAGGATATAACTTCTTTTCAAGTACAAAATGTGATTTAGTTATGTACTAGTTAAAAATATATAATTTTAACTAGGCATAACTGGTGTATAATTATATATTATATTTATCATGTGAAAGTGTTAAATGAATAATAAGATTTATTATAAGATAAAATACATTTTATGTACAAATTTTAATCATAATTTAATAATCTAAACTTAAATTAAGGTAGCTATAGGCTATTTTACTTCTGTTTTGATGCTAACATTATTTTTATAAAATTTACCTATTGTCAAAAATAGACAAAATTCTAAAACTGTATATTGTGATACTGTAGCTTGTAATAGTAAACCTACTTTTTTATTTGTTATGTAATATGACAAATACTAGATACTTAAAAATAGTTAAAAAATTTAAATATCTTTAGAACTTATGCACAAATGTAAAATTTTATTTTTATGAACATTTGAAGTTCAAATATTGATAAAATTGGATAGATAGTATTCAATAAAATGCAGAATAATGACAAATTTATTTTTGATTTTGATATATCAATTCAAATATGTAATTGTTATAGGTACCTTATATTTAATATAGACATTTCTGTTGGAAATATTCCACTTATACTTGAACTATTATTTCCCATAAACAATGTTTTTTTAAAAATATTTAACCTAATTATAGACATTTGAAAATATTTCTAATTTTTAGTTTTGAAAAAATATTGATAAAACATTTCACGTTCAATCAAAAAGCTTTAACATTTTACATAGGTAACAATACATGATACCAGTATATTGTATATCAAAAAATACACAAGATTATAAAGTACAACTTAATTTCATAATCATTTAAAGTTAAAATTTTTATTTATTCATTTATTTTGTCAAAATTACGAAAATTTGAAAATTATTGACATTAAAAATATACATAACCGATTTTCAATTTTAATTACAAAAGCAAAGACTTTTATGTTCTATTATCAACTCGTAAATTGTCTATTCTCTAGAGTTCGAACTAAAACATTCTGAGTTCAGATTGTCAGCATATAAGTTATACTCAAGAATTCAGGATCATCAGGATACTGTAACTCTACTATAGTTCTCAAAGCAATCATTGATATAGAATATAGATGATAGAATATTACTCTATATAGAGTATAGACACGATAAAAAGTTTAATGATAACAGTGATAATGTATTATTAGTGATAATAATGAAATACAAAAATAAATGAATGTGCATGTCTAATGTTTATTGATTACAATTTAAAAAACTTTATAGTTTTTAATGTTTTTATTGATAAAATAGTAAATACACAATTAATCATAATTTGAATTATTTTAATATTTTGTCAACATTTAAACAAAAGTAAAAACAAATATTAATTTTTCATTCTTAGCTGTAGATGCGCTACTTGTGTTTATGAGTATTACTTTTATTTATTTGATTAACATTAAATTAAATTATATGCGGTACTTTAAAAACTTATATATTTCAATAACAACAAAACTAAAATAAATAAAATCCATTTGGGGCGTCATTTTTTTAATGTTATAAACCTAACATTAATTTAGTCCTTATTTACAGAAATAGTACCTACCTACTTATAAAAATATTAATATTACTTAAATGGACTATTCTACAAACAATGTGAAATTTGATACTGATAAAACATCAGTTACATTATTACAAGACATACTAAATAAACAAGGAGTACGCACTGTTCAGTATGAATTACTACAAATTGAAGGAGCTGTTAGCGCACCATCATTTCAGTATCGCGTCACAGATGGACGATTTGTGGCTTATGGCCAAGGTTAATATAATAATGATGAGGTTTTAATTTATTTTCATGTATTAATGTATTGTTCTAGGAAAATCAAAAAAAGAAGCTAAACAACATGCAGCTAAGGCTTTATTACGAATTATTCATAAAGAATTTCCTGAATTGTGTTCCGATCCTTTATTTGAATCACAAATTAATTTTACCTCAAACTTGAATAATACTTTTGAAACAATGAATTTTGGTGACAATGATGAACGTAATCCAATTGGTATGCTTCAGGAACTTTGCACATCTCTTCATCTTCCTCCTCCGGTTTACATAACAGAATGTGAAGATGGTCTTCCTCATCAGCGTTTATTTACTGTTTCATGTAATGTCTCTGAGTACAAGGAAACTGGTATCGGAAAATCTAAAAAAATTGCTAAACGACTTGCTGCCAATAATCTTTATTTGATGTTAAAAAGGTAATTAAGTATACAATACACATTGTTGAGTTGTATTCCATATTAGTTTTTATTTTATATTTTATTTCTTGTCATTAGCATTCAGGCAGATCTCAGTCTAAACTCTAAAGCAGCTGAAAATGTTGATGACTTTGTTCGTCAACAGTCCAGTAATCTAAGTGGTTTGAAAAATTCAAAATCCACTTCTCAATTTTATAGATTACCTGAAATTCATAGACATTTACCATTAACTAATGGTCCATGCTATAATGACCTAAAAAAAATGGACGATGAACAACTGTATTCATGTGATAGCAAATTAATTTTAAATAGTTTTACTGCTGAACAAGGACTCAAAGTATCATTTATTGATTTTGAAGAACTCTCAAGTACTGGTAAATATCAAACTTCTCTTCAAGTATCTACTCCCATTACTGTGGCTTTTCACGGTGAATCCACTATCAGCTATGAAGAAGCTCAACAGGATGCTGCTTATAGATCATTGGTATTTTTTAAATGTATATTAAATAATAGTGCATTAAATTTGGTACAAGTTGCTTAATTAACCTTATAAAATATTATTCATAATGTAAATGAATCAATTTAGCATAATATAATATGATATATTGTGATATTGTACTGTTGAATAATTTTCTCAATTTAATTATTATCTTTTATAAATAAATGATATAGTTTAGGATTTGGTTACCTAGGATAAATTGTTTTTTGGTACTTGTATCATGCTATTTACTACACATTACTATGTATTATGCTATCTATTATAATTACCATTATTATTAATAATATTGTTATCTACAATTACAGCGGTCAACTACAGTGAAAAGTACAACCAATTCGACAGTCTGTGTTGTTTTAAACAGTAGTTAACAGTCATACAATTTAATAAATTTAGATAATATACAATTTAAATGTTACAGTATTAAATCTTGATAGAAAACACATCAGAATAACATATTTGAAAAATTTCTCAAGAAATTAAAAAATACTACGTACAGTAGATTGTAACCATTAAAAATGTTGAAAAACAATTCAGGTAATTTTTTTTATATTTTTAGATAATGTAGATACTGTATACAATAAATTATAGATATTATTCTCCTGAAGACAGCATAAATGAGATGAGTGACTTTTTTTAGTATCTCAATCCATATATTTAACTAAAATTGTAATTCAAACTATTTTCTTTATTAAAACAATAATTTTATTCAATACTTGACGTTAAAACTAAATTTTACTCTGTGTGGTTTCAGTGTTGTGTAAAATATTCTTCCATCTACTTTCAAAGTTATGCCAGAGTCAAAGGCTTATATCTCATACTTTTTTAACATTAGAAATTATTATATTGATATAATTTTTTATTACAAAAAACTACAAATTTTATTTGTATTTAATGATTGGTGTAAAGTGATGAGTTTTTAGATTTTTGTATTTATTTAGCTAGGAGAAAAATAATTTTGCAATTTTATGAATCCTTGTATTTGTCTCGAATAAGCAATATATTAATTAAATGTCAATATAGTATAATTATAATATACTATATTCAAGTAGTATGTTATGCTATAAATCTAACATTGTCAGGTATAGATTATTTCAATTTCATCATAAAACAAATAAAAAAATCATCAGTATCTAAAAATATGCTATGGAATAATCAAATAATATTATATGAACAAAACAAGTATTATCTAATCTTTTTATTGCTTATAGAAAAAATAACTAATTGCTATTTTAAGTAAGTGTTTATGCACTCGAGTAAAATGGCACAAATAAAAAAAATGTGCCTAATTATTTATTGTTCACTTGACTAAATTTTATTGAAATGTACTAAAATTTAATTGAACATCAGTCTGCGAGTAAAATATTAAATCACTTACATATACATCATAGAAATCCATTTTTATCTTAAATGGAGGTAATAAGCAATCAATATTTTTACAAATCCATTAATACGTTTATAATTCCTTTTGTAAGTGTATTAATAGTTTTTCATCTAAAGAGAATTATTAATAAACATTAACAACTGTTATCAATAATCTTAATATTTTAGTAATATTATTTAACTTATGAGGATTTCAGACATCATACCTACATATGTTGTTTTTATCTTAAAAACATTTAATAGCAAATTTGTGTTCAGTAGAATTATTTTTGTATTATTAGTATTTAGTTTTAATATTGGAGTCAATTGACTCATTAATTTTAGAAGTAAAAATATACTTGGCATGTGGTAAGTTTATATTAATATTTAAATTTTGAAATGAGGTTTTTAAAATGTTGCATGTTATACATGCTTAAAAATTTAAATATCAATATAAACTTACCAGATGCCAAGGATAATATTCTTAAATGTATGTTTAATAATTGATAAACTCACTCTAATATTAAAGGTAAAAATACAAAATTGGTTCTGTTAAATACAAATTTTCCATTCTAAATGCTTCTAAGGACTAGGAAATTACACCATATTAAAGGTATGGTGTTCTAATATTCTAATAATTAAAAGCAAGATTGTTAATCATAAACTAATTAGAATTTATGTTAGATTGTTAGAGTACTATTTTTGTAGATTATCAAGCATTTAATGTAAGATTAGTAGGTATAATAATTGATGTCGTCGTTAGATTAAAATATTAATCATAAATAACACTAAGTTGAATTATTGGTATTTTTATTTATACAAATTTTACACAAATTATTAAAAAAAAAAAACCCATAAAATAAAAATATAAAGTTAATATTTATTTTTCAACCAATGTAGAATAATTTTTCTGGCAGTATTATTTGTACACAGCCACACAGGATTCAATATTGGGCATATTTCAAAATCCTGTCAAGCGAATATAGTCATTATTTTTTTCTTAGGTCTTCATTTGAAGGTTGAAACCATGAAATGATTGTTGTTTTATAAACAGTTATAAATAACTTCTAACCTCCAAGTATACGTATTAGTTGATAGATTAAGAACATTATGATTTTATTATAAATCTAAATTGATTTGATTCATAAATACTTCATTTAAAAAATGTTTATAATTTATGTATGAAAAATTGTATTAAGTTACTTGTATGAACATGATCATAAAGTAAAAGAGGTGATTTGTTGAAATTCCTTTTCTTTTAATCTTAATTCAATTAATTTGTCCAATATTTCTTGTCTCCATTTACTTTTAAAAATACTTTCTCTATCTTTTGGAGAATTAAACCTATAAAATATAATATTTAATTTAATTAAATCCTATACCAAATAATTCAAAATGAATGGTTGATAAGTACATATTTGATTTTATATTGAATAAAACATTGTGTGAAGTACTAAATAAATATAATTACCATTGTGATATAAAACAAACATCAGGTTCAATTGAACCTCCCACTATAGAACTCCAAAATGTTTTTGGTTTTTGAATTGAAATGTTACTTTGAATTTTCATAAATGAATCGGGCTTAGCTTCCATACCAATTAATGAACCAATGCTAAGTTTAGGACTCCAAGCAGATACTCTGCGTCGAGAAGGATTAATTTCTTTAGCACTGAAAACAAACAACTAAAATTTAAAATTTTTACTATTGACAACTAATAAGTAATAATAAGCTTGGCCAAGGTATACTTCAAGTTTAAATTATTTTTTGAATCATTTCCGATCAGACATGTTGGAGCAGAATGTGAAGGCTCAGTAAATGATGATGATATCCATGATTCTATCCCTTCCAGTTTTGTCTTGAAAAAATAAATACAATTGTATTATGAATAACTTTTTAGATGGTTGGTTAAGTATAATATATCTAAAATGTAACGTTTGTGTAAAATTCTGATATATTTCCTATTTACAACAATAAAATTTAATTAAAATTAGGATGAAATGGTAGGTTAGGTCTAAATTAAAATAATACCTCTTGTTCTTTAGGTTGTTCGATTTCAATAGATGCCTGTATATGAATCCACTTTTTCCCAGTAGGATAATTTTTAGATATCTCACTCCTAAAATATAAATGCCTATCTAAACCCACTGAAAATACCTGTTAATATCAAAATAAAAATTATTATTTATTTATGAAACTTTGAAATAATTTACAGAATTTACTTGGTCGTTTGGGGTTACAGAGACGGAAAACATAAATGTGTTTAATTTCACCCAACAAGTTCCTTCATTGAGGTTTTGATCAATTCCTTTTCTATACCATACTCTAGAATCATTAGTAATTGCCCACACCGACTGAAATCCAACTGATAATTGAGTTATTTTTGAATCTGCTTCTGGAGATTCAACAATAATCCATTTTTTACCTTTAAAATATTAAAGACAACATTCTTAATAAGAAAAATTAAATAGAAACTAATAAATTAATTTTCAATCTATAAAAGTAAAGGTATTAAGTATATTATACTGACCTTGTGGTGTTTTAGCACTGACTTCTTTTCTGACTAATATGAGACCACTCCATAAAACTACCCAAACAGAACCTGACGGACCACAATCGATGTATCTAGATTCACTGCTCTCTATTGTCGGAACACAGACCCACAAATATCCTTCAGGCCATGTTTTGTTTACGTGTTTACGGTAGAAAATCTGTAATTTAAGATCTTTTAGAACAACAATTATACGTTTTTTTTGTCTGTGTATAATTTAAGAACCTATCAAAAATTTTATAAATGTCTATTTACCCTTCCTTGCGCTGTTACAGCCCACACCATGATGACACCAAGTTCAGCTTCGGGTATCTTATGCCCTCCAATGCTCACACAAATGAATGGTTCCTGTACAATAGTAAAATGATAATTATTATACGCACACGTTCATTCGTCAATACATGATACATAAATTCGTTCGATTACAATACCTGAGTAAAATCTTTGTGCAAAGGAGAAATTATACACCAAGAATTTGTGCCTGTGTATATTCGACTTCTATACCATTTCCTCCTCCTAACGCATGAATTCCAGCGTTTGACTGGATAGAACTTTGCACAAAAATCGACTGCATACGTCCATCCCTGACGACCAGTAAATAAAAACACAATTCACACAATATATTATTATAGGTACGTATATAATAATTATTGTTATAACTTGTAATTATATATCTCACGTCGTCGTCTAAATCGTTTTCTTCGAACGTAGTCTCCAACTTCCATTCGTGTTCCCATTGCCAGACGAAAGAGGGCAACTTTATATTCTCTTTCAATTTTTCTTCTTTACCGTTTTCTGACGACCAACAATATCTGTCGGTGGGCAAAAGTCTTTTAGAAAAACTTCCACCGGGCATCCATCGCTATCAACAACATTAAGAGATACACAACTATTTTATAGGTACGCGCGGCTGGTATGAACATTTATCATAAATTCATAAATATAAAATATAAATTAGGACAATTAGGTACTCATATTTATAAATTATAATCGATAATTCCTATAAACCCTTTATTTTATGTACATTTTATTATAATTTACCGGGCGATTTTTTTGTGGTTTGAACCAAATTTTATTTTACGTATAATTAAAAGTCATAATAATTAACAAATTACAACTTATTTTTTTACAGTAGATTTAATTAAATAATTATTATTTTATTAATCGGATCATGATTCATAGGATAATAAAAACAATCATAAATCGCTCGTAGCCCGTAGGTAGGTAATATAGATGGGTAATAGATAGGAAATATTTTCGGAGGGGATTTTGGTCTATGTAATATGTATGTCTAAATTAATATCAAATATCATGAAACATTAAAATGAAATATGAATTATTTAATTAGTTTTATCTTTAATTTTGGGGGGGCATTTGAACATACACCCTCCCCCCATTACATACTTAACCTACTGACTACTTATTAATAATATTACATATATGAGTATTATATTTATGGTCAATAGCTAGTTTTATTGCTATCGTTTACTAACCTCGTTTTCATATACTTCTTCCTTGATCCGTATCGCTTTGTCAAGGTTGTGCACCAACAGATACGTTTGGTTGTCGC